ATTTGACCCCTCACAAGCCACCACAGAACACAGCAAAGTCTACCTTTAGGCCGATGGCGTGGGCTCTCTGGCTCATTTCTTCTGCTGCTGCGCTCTGACCCTCCATCTCGCTCCGATCTGCTGCTGTGCCTACTTCTATCCCACTCGTCTGTGAAGAGTCACAAGCAGAACTTAAAATTATGTGCCCTGTCCTAACATACACCCAGCTTCACCCTAGAGAAAGGCCCAGCCTTCCCACTCACTCACAGGTGCGACCTGCCCTCCTCCTGACACTCACATGTCCCCAGTCTCTCAAGGGGAAACAAGTTACTAGCTAGAATGTTTCAAACTCATAATAACAGTTATTTTCCTGCAAGAATTCAAAAAAAAATAACCACAAGTCTACAATGAATAGTTTTTTAACAGTTACAGGCCTATAAGCTATAACACCTAAACTCTGAGCAAAGCCAGCACTGGACTTCATGTCTAGCTTTGCTCCACAGCACCATCCTTTCTCTATCGCCAATGCTACTGGAAACTCCGCTTTCTCATACATAACATTGCCTTTATCACCAATTTTCATAATAAAATGAGGACCACACGCTCTAGCAAAGCAGCTAGGTTACTAGCAACAGCTCTGTTGGTTTTTTTTTTTAGTTTTTGTCAGAGAGAGGGAAAGTGAGAAATCACCTCGGTTGGGGGGCGAGGGTAGAATGACCATGCTGTAATTCCTTCTCTTCCATTCCCTTTTCAGGATTTTGGGAATGCACGTGCACAGGCCTGATTTTCAGGCCACCAGGTCTAGGACTCAAACTGTGGTCAGCCATGTAGGGGTCCAAAGCCTTAGCCACCATGCCACCTGCTGGCCCCAACAGTTCTTTTCTTAAACTGCCTGCTATTCCCAGTCCCAATAGGGTCAAAACCAACCAGGCTGACATCGTGCAAATGGGGCTCCCCAATTAATGGCCATTATAGAAACACCTGCAACAGGAAAAAGGCTGCCATGTTTACTTGAATGCTAACAGGCACCAGGAACCATGCCAGGCAGTTTACCTCTGTCCCTCTTGCGGTCACAGTCTCGATCCCGTGATTTCTCCTTATTCCGATCCTTTTCTTCCCTGGACGAGGCATAGACACCATGTTCCCGCCGCTCCCGCTCTCTCTGCCGACTGCGTTCCCAGAACTCTTCACTCACACCACCAGGATGGGATGGAGTCTCTACCCGAGCAGATCGATAATGTCTGAAACAGGGAGGGCAACAGTTAAGGGCCTCCATAGGAGAAAACCTGGCCCCAAACCTTTGGCTGTGCCAAACAAGCCTTTTCTCCTTTATCTCCCTGGTACTGCAAGCTTACATATGGCAACAACTCAAGGCATTTATAACCACTATCATCTATTCATTAGCTGCCTTTGAATTTTCTCCATAAATTTGAAGAAAATACCGATTTGTACTTACCCTCGATATTAAAGAACCTTAATAAGATCATAAAGCTCTAAATGTCAAACACAATACTAAGAGAAAAATCTGGGGTGTTGGCGTCACCAGATGGCATGGCAATTATGTCGCTGGACTCCCACATGACCTACCGTGATTCAAGTTCCAGACCTGGTGGCTTGAAAATCATGACCACTGAGTGTGCATGCTTGCCCAAGATCCCAGGAGGAGAATGGAGGGAAAAGGATTGTAGCATGGCCACCACCCCCGCCCCCAATGGTGATTTCTCACTTTCCCTCTCAATGTCAAAGCCTCTGTCTCTCCCTGGCAAGCGTATACCCTAAGACAAAACCTCTACCGAAAAAAAAAAAAAGGATGTTATTTTCTGGCCTCCTTTGCATTCCCTTTGGGCCTACTGATTCTGAGGTCTTTACCTGTCTTTTCGGCTACTTCGACCGGCCTGGTCATTATCTTCCTCTTCAGTGTCCTTCTGGTCATCCTTGCTTTCTTCCCAATCCTTGTAGGAAGAGATTCTGGACTTCTTCTTGTCCTCACCATCATCCTTCTCCTCTCGCTCTCTCCGTTTCTGGGAAGCCAGCAAGTCTAGTCCCAGCAATGAAGGGCGGGGAGCAGGGGCCTTGAAAACATGCTGCTCACTGGCTGCACTTTTGGTCTTGCAAATAAGACCGCCAACTTGAGAGTCCAAATCAGTGCCTTCCAATCGATGGATCGAGGGATCCTCGCTGGTGTCTTCCATCAGATGCTCTGGGATTGCTCTGGAAGAAAGGCAAACCATTTGGTACTAGTCATGTAAAGAAAGACAAGAAGGGAGAAGGCCTGGCTCTTATCTCTCAGAACAACTGCAACCATGGGGTGGTTAATCCTCCCCACAAGACCAGGACTTCTTTTGCTACCCCTCACCAAGACCTTTCCATCAAGTCACTGACAATCTCAAATACTTTTCCATTCCCGCCCCTACGGACACTGAAATAGATACACAAAAGCACACCAACATCCAAGAGGGTAATCATCTAGGCAAGAACAGGCCTCACCAAGGGACAGTAAGTATAGTATCTATAATTGGAATACAAGTTAAAGATCACGCAAGTTGAGTCAGAAACCTCAGTCAGAAACGATATTCTTGGGGTCAGCCCTGGAGCCTAGTGTCCTAGTGCTGAGGAAGTCCTATGAGACATGGCTGACCAAAGTTGGAATCCTGGCCCAGGTGGAAAAAACATGCCAGGCACACATGTGTGCATGCCTAAAATTCCAACAAGATGGAGAAATGGAGAAGTGTTGTCGCGTGACCATGCCCATGGGAGGGGGAAGGGTGCTTACTTCCTCTCTCTGTCTCCCTCTCTGGTGAGGGCATCCACCCTCTGGAAATTAAAAAAGAAAAGGAAACAAAGTTCTTGCCATTTTCTATCTATAGAATGCTAAGCTTAATCTTTGGTTAGCCATAACGCTACATCTACAAAATGGAAATTGTTTTTGCGTTATCTAATCCATGGATTTACTGTGAGATTCAAACAAGAAAGTGGAAGTACTCTATGGCCACAAAGAGTTAAAGAAGCATAATTCTTTATTATTTTATCGCTATGCTCTATGTACAGGTAAATCCCTCAAAAATGCTGTACATGTGTTCTACCTTTCTCTCCCTTTAATTCATATACTCAGTATAAGGCTACTATTCATGTCATCCGTACTTCATGAACTTTTGGGGGACCAGTTGTGTTTTGTAGAAAAGCCATTACCTGGGACCAGCAGTTAGCGTAATGGCTATGTCGCTAGACTCCCACGTAGTTGACCGCGGTTCGCGTCCCGGACCCGGTGGCTTAAAACTCACACCGGGCACGTGTGCGTGCGTGCCCAAGATCCCGAGAGGAGAATGGAGGAGAAGGGATTGTGGCGTGGCCATCCCCCCTGGGGGGTGATTTCTCACTTTCTGTCTCTCTGTCTCTCTCTGTCTGGCGAGCACACACGCTCTACAGCAAAAACCTCTCAAAAAAAAAAAAAAGAAAGAAAAGAAAAGCCATTACCTGACAGCAGTTAAAATCAGTTTAGTAACAATCCATTTAGGAAATGGTATCATTAAAATGTATTTAAGTGACTATAAGACTTCTTGGTGCTCAGCTTGTAACAAACTCCTCTTCACCTCCCACTTACAGAAGACCCACTTATAAACTCATCTATTCTGGATGGTCTAGATAATTCACTTCATTTTAACTTACTAAAACCAAGGAACTATCCAGGGATGAGATACCACCAGAATCCCGATTTTTTTGCTAGATTCTAACTAACATGCCCAGTGCCATAGAGGAATATTTCCAAACACTGGCCACATACTATGGATGCAGAAACAAGAGTTACATTTTGAAATGCCACCAAGCAGAACAGAAAAGAGAAACCTGAATATTGGTGACATGTGAAGACACCCAGACAGGAAGGCAAAGATATAAAGTCTCTGCTCAGCAGTTGCCTGAACTAAAAAATAGATCCCTAAAATGCCATTTCATACAGGTGAGAGGGAATCTTGTATGTCTTGTCGCCTGCTGTAGCCCAGTGTCCAGCAGAATAAATATCTGATGAATAAATAAGTGAATGAATTTAAACTTACTAAGGGCAACATTTCCAGAGACAACAAGGGAAGATAACACATCAAGGGAAGATATCATAGACTTACCTTGTTGCTGAGAATAAGAAGCAGCTCAAGACTCTGGAGCACAAATGGTAAGTAAGCACAGGGGTACAGAGAAGAAAGAACCCGGATTTGCTCGTTCAACAATTATTCAGTGAGTTGCTCCCTGGGTAAGTCGGTGCTTGCAGCAATAGAGACAGAATAAAGAATAAAATGGAAAAAAAAAAATCTCCAACCAACTGGAGCAGACACTCTAGTAGGAGATCGCCCACCAGACAGCCTGGTAGACATACCACTATGATCCCGAGAGAAGAAGAAAACATCAGAAGCCCTCAGTGAGGCCACTCCAGCCAGCAAGATCTAACCAGAGCATGCAGAAAGGCCAGGGCAGGCAGAAAGGGCGTAGGATCTCTGAAGAAAGTAAGGCAAGTTAGCTGACAGCGACGAGAGAACTTCCCAAACCTTCCCTGCTTCCCTGGGGCAGGCAAACGATATCCACCTCCTGGGAGCTGCCATGATTGGCGAAGGGCAGGTCAGAAAGGAAGAAGGGATACTCACCTCACCACGCGCGACTCTTGAGACCCTTCTGTCCGGGCCCTGATTCCCCACCCCCGCCACTGCAGGTTCAGACAGCCTCAAAGAGCCAAACTCCGAACCTTGAAAGCGGCCATTGTTGTCCCATAATACTTTGCGCGGCCCCCTCTAGCCGTTCAAAAATACCATCGAGAGCAGCGCGGAAAACGCCATCTTCAGGATCCGAGTGTGAGGCCCAGCGCGACCAGGTTCTGAAGGCTAGAGTGTCCTCTTCTGGGGCTCTCGTCAGAGGCACTTCCGAGTCTCCTTGCAGCCAATCACGCTTAGCCTAAAAGGCGAGACTCCGCCTCCAGCCTAGGAGCGGGAGAGGAGGAAGGAAAGAAGTCGACCGTGCGTAATGAGGGAGGAAGTGACGTTGTGCTTCCGGTTGGACCCGGACCAAGTGAGTAGTGACCGGAGCCGTTTGTTTATTGGGCTGAGCGTGAGCGGCTGGCGACCACGCGTTGGTTTTCTGCGCCTGTGCTCGTTGCTTTTCGTCTCCTAACTCCAAGTGTTGCTAGGCAACAGCCCTCGGGGAAACTTTGAACCGAGACTGCCGCCTCCTCGGAGCTGAAGAAAGGAGCCGCCGCGTCTCGAGTCTTCCGAGAGAGGCCGGGGTTGCGAGCCCTGAGGTGGAAGGAAGGGAGATGACAGGACCAGTGGAGTGAGTACCTCGTTCCTCGCGGGCTGGGCCGGGGTGGCAGAGCCGCAGGCATCTTTAAAAACACGATCCCCTTTCCGGGCGTCCCGGTGGGAATAAAAGTCACCCGGCCGTTCTCACGCGGATACCCGCTGAAGAGGCTTGGAGTGAACATGTATACATAGGCCGTATAATTAGGTTTTGTACAAACGTGCTGTCAAACTTCATACACTATTATAACGGTTTCCTTTCAGGAGTTTTAGAAACACTTTAGGACTGTAACCAGTCCCTACTGACGGCCGTTTAGGTGGCTTCCAAGTTTTCACCGTTAGAAATGCGATGAGTGTATCCTTTGTTCATAAATCTTTGTGCGCGTGGCTAATTATTTACTAAATTCTCAGAAATGGGACTTTTGGTCAAAGACGAAAAGACTTACTTCTGAAAGGTTTTGTCTTTACATTCTAGGAGGGACTATGAAAACCTGCCACATCATTCATACTCTTGCCATCGTTGTGCACTCCTGTCTTGTTTAATTATTGCCAACTTAATGCTTTTTTTGGGGGGTGGGGGCGAGGCTTTTGCTATAGGCCGTGTGTGCTTGCCAGAGAGACAAAGCGAGAAATCCCCCCCCACCCCATGGCCACGCCGCAATCTCGTCTCCATTTTCCTCTTGGGATCTTGGGCACCCACGCACACGCGCGGGGCTACCAGGTCCGGGACTCGAACCACAGTTGACTACATGGGAGTCCAACAACGCAGCCATTATGCCAACTGTTGGTCCCATCTTAATGCATTTTTTAAACATAATCTTTTATTATAATTTGCTTTGCTTTGCTTTGCTTACCGGCACAGCTTAACTTTCCGGTATATTTACTGTCCATTTGTACCTCTTCTTTGGTAAAATCTGTTTGTGCTGGACATTTTTTTAGCGGTGGTTTCAGTTTCACTCCCCTCTTTCCAAGATTTGGAATGGTCCTGTTCCTGGCCTTCCTGCAGTTTGTTTTGATGGAATCCCTTCTGTCAGTCAGCATCCAAGTTTCAATTACAATCTGTTGCTGCAATAGTCTTATTTCACACATGAATTTCTGTTAATTTATATCTTTCAATTATAAAAATAAGAGCTTATGATAATACAAGTAACACTGCATTAGAAATGTAGTGACCTGGGCTGTCCCCATAGCACAATGGTTAAAGGGAACCAGATCCTAGATAGCCAACCATGGTTCAAATCCTGACCTCGGCAGCTTGAAAAAACATACTGGGAATGTCTGTGTGCCCAAAAATCCCAGTGTAATTAAGAAAGTGGAGAAGGAATTGTGGCATGACTGTGCCTTATCGGGAGGTGCTTTCTCCCTTTCTCTGTCTCCGGCAAGCACACACAGTGAACGGAAGAAAGAAATGTGATGGCCTAGATTCTAGTCCGTGTTCCTTTTTCTTTCTTTTTTTTTTGGAGAGGTTTTTGCTATAGGGCACGTGCGCTTGCCGGACAGACAGAGACAGACATAGAGACAGAAAGCGAGAAGTCACCCCCCAGAGGGGATGGTCACGCCGCAATCCCTTCTCCTCCATTCTCCTCTCAGGATCCTGGCTATGCACGCACACACGCCCAGCGTGAGTTTTAAGCCACCGGGTCCGGGACACGAACTGCGGTCGACTACGTGGGAGTCCAGCGACATAGCCATTACGCTAACTGCTGGTTCCCTAGTCCATGTTCTTATAGCTAGATGTGTTACTGTAAGCAAATTAGTTTGTAAAATGAGGGGTTTGGATTGGGCTGCCACATAGCCCCCTTTTTTTTTTTTTTTTTTTTTTTAGGTTTTTGCCATAGGGCATGTACACTCACTGGAGAGAGACAGTAAGAGAGAAAGTGAGAAATGACTCCCCAGGGGAGATGACCATACTGCAGTCCCTTCTTCACTTTCTCCCAGGGATTCTGGACATGCACGTGCACACACACACCTGTCTGCCAGGTCTAGGACTTAAACCACAGTCAGCCATGTGGGAGTCCAGTGCCTTAACCACCACACCTGCTGACCCCTACACACACTCTTAATTGATCTGTTTGCCATGTAATAAGGCACACTTACTAGTCTTTAAGGGGACCAGCAGTTGGCGTAACAGCTATGTCGCTGGACTCCTATATAGTCAACCGTGGTTCCAGTCCCGGATCCGGTGGCTTAAACTCATGCTGGGCACATGTGCATACGTGCCCAAGATCCCAAGAGGAGAATGGAGGAGAAGGGATTCCCCGCCCTGGGGGGTGATTTCTCATTTTCTGTCTCTCTGGCGAGCGCACACGCGCTATAGCAAAAACCTCTCAAAAAAAAAAAAAAGAAAGAAAGAAAGAAATCTTTAAGCCAGGATTCATTATGATGGAAAAGTTCATCAACAAAGGACTATTTATGGGCTAACAAGTGGTATAGAGGTTAAGGCAGCTGGAGCCCACTTGGCTGATTGTGTGGTTCAAGTCCTGGACCCACTGACTTGCAAAACATGCTGGGCACATGAATCTGTGTGCCCAAAATCCAGAGATGAGAATAGAGGAGAAGGGATTACAATGTGGCCGTCCCCCCGGGAGGTGATTTCTTTCCCTCTCTCCCCCATTTCCAGTGAGCATACACATGCCCTATAGCCATAAACTAAAGTGAATGAATGCCTATTTAAAAAGAATGGTACATAGATGAAATAGTATGCCACTGTAACAGGAACATGGAAGATTTTGCAGAACACTGATACATAAAATAGGCTGTGTTTTGAGTAAAAGGAGGAGAAAACATAGGGATATATATTCGTGTGCATAACAAAATTCTAAAGATAGTAACAAAACCTGGTGTGGGGAGGTGGAAGGGAATGAGGCTAAAGAGGAAGAACAGGGAAAGGGGAACGTTCTATATTGACATATGCCATGTGAGTACATTACCTACTCTAAATATTAACTTTTTAAAAGTAGGGCTTATGGGGTCCAGCAGGTGGTGTGGTGATTAGGGCACTGGACTCCCCCATAGCTGATTTTGGTTCAAGTCCCGGACCTGGAAGCTTGCTTTCTCATTTTCCCTCTCTCTGTCTCTATCTGATCAAAATAAAAGGTAATAATAATAAAATTAAATAATTCTTTTAAAAATTAAAAACTACAGGACTTATGCGCTATATCTAAATGTTTTTAAGCTTTGCCATTTGATTTCAGAATTGACAGTGAAGATTGATATTTGGATTATTTCAACATGAGCTTCCTGTTGCCCAAGCTAACTAGCAAAAAAGAAGTAGACCAAGCAATAAAAAGTACTGCAGAGAAGGTGTTGGTTCTCCGGTTTGGGAGAGATGAAGATCCTGTCTGTCTGCAGCTAGATGATATTGTAAGTGAATTTTTTAAATAAATGGTTCATTAACAGTATATTTGGGGCCAGTGGGTGGCATGGTGTTTAAGGCACTGGACTCCCACATGGCTAATGCAGTTCAAGTCTCACACCTGGAGGTTTGCTTTCTTACTCTCCCCACTCCTCCCTCCCTCCCTCTCTCTCTCTCTCTGGTAAATTTGAAAAATAATAGTAATAATAAGTAAAACTGAATAATTAATGTTTTTAAAAATCTGTATATTCTCATTTCAACATCCGTGAAGTACATGAGAATTATATAGCTCATAGGTCATTAGCACACTTACAGTAAGGGCTGATCATAGGCCTGCCCTGAGCCAAACCCCCCAAATCTGTGATTATGCCACTTGTGTCCTGGGTGTCCTTCATTAGCATCTGTCAAGGCAGCGAAAGGGGAAATAGTCAACCATGGACTTTACCTTGCTCACTGCTCACAACAGTGGGATAATAGCAGCCCCATTTCCTAGTGGGGACAGTGAATGCGAGGGCAGTCACGTCCTCCCTAAAGGCACAGAACCCCTACATTGCAGAGCTGGTGGTTGTACTTGGTGTCCTCTAGCTTCAAACACTCTTTTCTAGTGTGCTGACTTCAGTATGTGCGTGATGATAACCTTAGGACAGAGTAGATGGATTCTTGTCTTTGTTTATTATTATAGAGGAGACTAACCCAGGGCTAGGACCTCTTCCTACCACTGTTATTGCTGCTGTCTGCTGTGGAAATCAAGTGTAAGAATCCTTGTTACTGTGGTTAAAAATGAGTGTGATGATAGGGCCGGCAGGTGGCATGGTAGTTGAGGAGCTAGACTCCCACATGGCCAACCATGGTTTGAGTCCTGGACCTGGTGGCTTGCTTTCTCATTTTCCCTTTCTCTCTCTTTGGTCAAATTAAAAATAATAATAACAACAAATGGAATTAAACAAATAAATAATTCTTTTTAAAAAATGAGGAGAGAAAGAACCAGAGAATTCTATCTTAGCTGTAGGGAGGAGGAAATACTATAGAGGTCAAGAGAAGAGATTCTGAAGCCAAAGCTACTGAAGTGCAAATCCCACCCCTACTGCTTGCTAGCTGTGTGAAATGGGGCAAGTTATTTTACCTCTCTCTGCCTCAGTTTCCTCATCTATAAAGTGGGTACCCTAATAGCATGTACCTCATCACTTAGGACAATCAACACATAGTGTCAGACAAGTGTTTGCTGTTATCATTTCTGGGAAGAAAAAGATTTTGGAGAATTTCAGTATCTACATTATGTATTTCTGAATTGTTTCATTTTATGTGACCTTAGATTCCTTTTATAAAACTAATCAAAGATAGAAAATATAGTTACAGAAAATAAAGTTGCAACATTTACCCAGGGCCCCATTGTAACCCTGTCAATAGTGATTTAGAGTCTGAATGAAAAGATTACCTGTGTCTCATGTGGAACCCAAATGGACTAGATTTTTAGCCCAAGAATTTTTTTTTTTTTTTTTAATAAAATACTTCACTGGGGACAGCAGGTGGCATAGTGGATAGATCTCACATGGCCAACTATGTGGTTGGAGTCCTGGACCTGGGGGCTTGAAAAACACAATAGGTGCATATCCATAAATGCCCAAAATCCTGAGAGGAGAATGGAGAAAGGATTGCAGCATTGCCATCTTCCCTGGGAGGGGGACAATCCTCACTTACTCTTTCTCTCCATCTCTGTCTCCAGCAAATGTGCACTCCCTATAGCAAAGTTTTTAATTAATTAATTAATTTTTAAAAGACTTTTCTAAATTAAAAAAAGCTTTATTATGGTGAAAAGTTTCACAGAAGAAACATTAACACTTTCTCATATTGTAACCTACCTCTCTCTTGTCATTTGCAGCTTTCTAAGACATCTTCTGATTTAAGTAAAATGGCTGCTATCTACCTGGTAGATGTGGACAAAACTCCAGTGTATACACAGTATTTTGACATCAGCTATATTCCATCTACTGTATTTTTCTTCAATGGGCAGCATATGAAAGTGGATTATGGGTAAGTTAGGTTGACTTGAAGGCATTAGGATCATGAGAGTTTCCTTTAAGCAGTTTCAGTAGCTCATTCATTTGCACATGGTATTAGCTCTGTGGATCTTGTGTTGGTACTGTTCCCACAACGGTGCACTTTGTGATTTTTTTATGCACAACTTTGTCATAAAATAAAAGTGTTTCAGACCCAGGGTGGTGATATGTGCTGCTGAGGCACTGTGTTCTGCAAACCAAGACCACATGGGAGGCCCAGATGGAATTCCTGGTCCAACCTCAGGGCCAAGCACAATGCCCTGCACCTGTAATCTCAGCAACTCGGGAGGCTGAGGCAAGAGGGTCATGAGCTCAAGGCTGGCCTGAGCAACATAGTGAAATATTCCCTTAAAAAAAAAAAAAAAAAAAGGACCAGCAGATGGTGTAATGCCCTATAGCAAAACTCTCTTTTAAAAAAAATTGAATGTTTCTGGTATGATTGGCAATTTTTCATTTCTAAGTATGAAAGAATGGCAGTTTGTGAAGTACTCACCATCCTTAATCTAGAGATTGTGGAACAGCCATTTCTTTTTTTTTTTCTTTTTTTAGAGAGAGAGAATTTTGCTATAGGGCATGTGTACTTGCCAGAAAGATGGGGAATGGCCACACCGTGTCTCTTCTCGTCCATCCCCCTCTCAGGATTTCAGGCATGTACACACGCACCCAGCATGAGTTTAAAGCCACTGGGTTCAGGACATGAAATGCTGTCACCCCTTTTGTGGGAGTCCAGCACCTTTACTGCTGCACCACCTGCTGACCCCAGAACAGCCATATTACCTAAATATAGAACTCAGCAAGTTTCCCAAGAATTTTATTTAAAACAAAATATGGGGCCAGCAGGTGGCATGGTGGTTAAGGCATTCAATTCCCACATGGTTAATCACAACTTCAGTCCTGGACCCATCAATTTGAAAATCACTCCATTCACATGCGCACACATGCCCACAATCCCAAGAGTAAAATGCAAGAGAAGGGATTACAGTTGGCCATCCCTTCTAGGGGGTGATTTCTCACTTTACCTCTCTCCAGCAAGTGCACACACCCTATGACAAAAACCTTAAAAAAGAAAAAAATTAAATGGTGGTTCTTAAACTTTTAGGTCTGATAGCATTTATAAAAGAGGCATTCCTCCAACAAACTAAGATGTGCTTCTCTCTTACCAATTTTCCTATCTTCTACCACTCAGAAAATTTTGAAGTCATTCTTCAGCAAAGCCTGTTAAGAATAAGTCTCACAGGGAACCAGCAGTTAGCGTAATGGCTATGTCGCTGGACTCCCACGTAGTCGACCGCGGTTTGCGTCTCGGACCCAGTGGCTTAAATCTCATGCCGGGCGCGTGTGCGTGCGTGCCCAAGATCCCGAGAGGAGAATGGAGGAGAAGGGATTGCAGCGTGACCATCCGCCCTGGGGGGTGATTTCTCGCTTTCTGTCTCTATGTCTCTGTCTGTCTGGCGAGCGCACGCGCCCTATAGCGAAAACCTCTCCAAAAAAAAAAGAATAAGTCTCACAAAGTGTTCTTTAATACCTCCATCCAGTTAGTACCACAGCACTTAATATCTACTACTGAATGTATTCATAATTCTTAATAGTTGAGCTGTCCACTTGTCTAGATCTGGGTACCTGCTTTGTTATTAACTAAGTGACAGTATCTAAATGTCAGTTGAAAATGTGTTAACTTTCAGTTTTAAAGTGTTTCAAAGGTTATTCCACTGGAACAAAGTTGATAAAAGCATTAATTTGGTACATCTTTTTAGAAGTCAGTTTAGGACACTGTATCAAACACCTCAAAAGTGTTTAAACTTTTTAACCCAATAATTGCATTTCTAGGAATTTAGTATGATGTTATAGATGCATATTTAATGACTTTGAAGGAAACATGTTAGTTGAGGAAAAGCATATCACTGAATAGTTGATATGATATACTTTATTCTGAAAAAAAAATACACATACATATATGCACATGTATACTCACATACAACAAAAGATTGGAAGGACCCTTCATACATGAAAAGGTGACCTCTGGCCTCACTGGTGACTAGTTTTTTTCTAAAAAAAAAAAATCTTTGCAATAAACATACCTGATGTTTGAAATATTTTTATTAAAAAAAAAAATTGAGGGGACCAGCAGTTAGCGTAATGGCTATTGTCGCTGGACTCCCACGTAGTCGACCGCGGTTCGCGTCCTGGACCCGGTGGCTTAAAACACGCCGGGCACCTGTGCGTGCGTGTCCAAGATCCCGAGAGGGAAGAGAGTGCGGCGTGGCCACCCCCCCCTGGGGGGTGTGTTCTCGCGTTCTCTCTCTCTCTCTCTCTCTCTCTCTCTCTCTGTCTGGCAAGTGCATTCGCCCTATAGCAAAAACCTCTCCAAAAAAAAAAAATTTTTTTTTTAACACCTACCACTCAAAAGTATGAGCAGCTAGAATTCAGAGACCTTGTCTATTTAATAGCCTAACCAAAAACAACAAACATACCAGCTATGCTTACTGTACCCCTTAGGGAATTCTACTTGGTACTGATATGAGAGGTAATAGATGTGAAGAATAGGTAGAATCTATTAATAGATTTTGAAATAATAGATTTGAAACAGAATCTATTCACTTAGCAGGGCTTTCATGCTAGTGGCCTATAGTACTGATTTTAGTCATATACCAGGGTGCACATAATCAGAAGAAAAAACAATACTGGGCTTGATAGCTAAAGTTACCTTGACAAGAAGGAAGCAACCGATCTGCTGTTCATTTCGTTTACCCTGGACGTCTTCAGCAAGTAATTATAAAATTCTGAGAGCAGCTGTTTTTCTTCTATGCTATCTAGATCTCCAGATCACACCAAGTTTGTGGGAAGTTTCAAAACCAAACAAGACTTCATAGATTTGATTGAAGTGATCTATCGAGGAGCAATGAGGGGGAAACTTATTGTCCAAAGTCCTATTGATCCCAAGAATGTTCCCAAATATGACCTTCTCTATCAAGACATTTAGCACAGTCACTGCTACTAAAGATGAAGAGCAAGCACATCTCGGAACAGTACAGGAGTGCAGCTCTGCTGTTTTCTGGAGTCTTTCAAAAACATGTTCCATGTCTCAATGGAAGAGATTGGAGTTGTGTGGAAAATGTCCGGCCCATGAGTAGGAGACCAGGCTGGTACTCATCTGATCTGTGCTGCTCAGGTATCTACTCTGCAACCTCAGAGTAGTCAAATCCAGTTTCCCAGGATGATTTTTTTTTTTTACTTCTCTTTACAGCGTGCTTTCCTATATCCCTTAAGATAACACAGAATCCTCCTAAACATTGGCTAACACAATTTGATTTAACCATTTTTATTTGTGGATGTGCGTACACGCTCACACACACACACACACACACCCTCGCCCATTCTTCCACACATATCCCTCATGCTCGCCTATCTCTAGTCCTTACTGTCCAGTTTCTCTTGGGATAATCAACTTTCTACAGGTAGCAGGCAGATTTGTTTTTTTTTTTAGAGACTTTCTGACTCAGGCTTTTTTTTTTTGGAGAGATTTTCACTGTAGGGCGCGTGCGCTCGCCAGACAGACAGAGAGAGACAGAGACAGAAAGCGAGAAATCACCCCCCAGGGGGGATGGTCACGCCGCAATCCCTTCTCCTCCATACTCCTCTCGGGATCTTGGGCACGCACGCACACGCGCCCGGCGTGAGTTTTAAGCCACCGGGTCCAGGACACGAACCGCGGTCGACTACGTGGGAATCCAGCGACATAGCCATTACGCTAACTGCTGGTTCCCCCTGACTCAGGCTTTTAAAACATTATCCTGATTGACTTTTTGCCTTTTTTGGGGGGGGGAGGGTGTTTCCGCTATAGGGCGCGTGTGCTCACCGGACAGACAGACATAGAGACAGAAAACGAGAAATCACCTCCCAGGGGGGATGGTCACGCCACAATCCTTTCTCCTCCATTCTCCTCTCGGGATCTTGGGCACGCACGCACACGCGCCCGGCGTGAGTTTTAAGCCACCGGGTCCAGGACACGAACCGCGGTCGACTACGTGGGAATCCAGCGACATAGCCATTGCGCTAACTGCTGGTTCCCCTGGTTGACTTTTAAACTAGCTTTTATGTTATTACCCCAAGAAATGAAAATTTGCACCCTTCACTAATCAGCACTCAATTTGAGCTAAATGAAGAATTAACTACCTTCAGTAAGTAGGAGCAGATCTTTTCCAGAAATTGCAGCCTCTTCCTGTGGCAGAAAATTGTATTTCACAGGCTCAAGACTGAAAGATGCCAGAACTGAAAGATGCCAGCCAGTTGACAGAAATACAACTTTCATGGGATTTGCCTGTTTGGGGCAGATCTTTTCCAGAAATTGCTGCCTCTTCCTGTGGCAGAAAATTGTATTTCACAGGCTCAAGACTGAAAGATGCCAGAACTGGTATCAGTTGACAGAAATACAACTTTCATGGGATTTGCCTGTTTTAATAACTCTATGAAGAATTCTTCCTGTTCCAAGGTCTTGTGGGCAAGTTACTGCTCCTCTCAAAACTCCCTGGTAGCTATTTGCATTGACTTCCTAGAACAAGAGCGGATGCTGAGCTGGAATGCAGCGAACCTGCTTGGCAGCCAGTGAGCTTCTTGCCAACAGAAGCCTGTTCTGTTCAGGGCAGCACTGTCACTGCAGCTCTGATCCCCTCCAGTGGTCATTTCCTTTCCAAGCCTCCTATAGGGAAAGGTGACCATTGGACTTGGTTCTGGATAATGGAACCTAGAGGGACAGCTGTGGAATACTTTTTGTGTTCTTTGCTGCTAGAAGAGGAAAGCTGCTCCAGAAATAAGACCAAACAGAACACTTCCACCACCACCTTTGTCTTCTCCTCTCCCTCACTTTCTGATTTTGAATCATGATGCATGGGAGCTCCAGGAGCCATCTTGAAACTACGAGGTAACCAGCATCAAGATGAAACATCAGTATGCTGAGGACAATAAAAGCAGCCTGATTTCTGACGCCATTGAGCTGTTGAGTGAACTCTAGACCTGCCTCCATCCAGACTTCTATGAAAGAATAAAACTTCTTTATTGCCTAAGTCACTGTCAGTCTGTTTTTCTATTCTTCACAGGCTAAGTCACATAGTGCATGATGTGTGGTAAATGCTCACATACCAGCAAGAACTCAGAACCTGCATCCATAAAATTCTCATATTGTCTTTCCTCCCGAGGGCTTTAGGAATTCTTCCCCTGAAATCCTGATTTATATTTTTGATCCTTTCTTACTTGCTTCATGTTCCACAAACATTTATTGAGTACTGTATGCCCCCACCTTGTGCTAGATGCTACATAATACCAATGAACATGCTCAGCTGCACAGTTGGATTCCCAGACCTGGCACCTTGAGAAACACGCTGAGCATGTATGCCCAGAGTCCCAAAAGTGGGGGAAGCTGGAGAAGAGCTTGAGGCATGACCACATTCCATGGGGGTGCTTTCTCATTTTCCCTGTCTGTCTCCGGTGAGTACATGTTCCCCATCGTAAAATTGAGGGGGAAAAACAAAACTACTATGAGGTATTTTTGCAGAAGAGGAAGGACATTTCAGCAGAGGTCACCACTGTAAAGACCCAGGGGCTGGGGACAGCACAGTGTGTTCAGAGAGCAACACCTGGTTCAGTGTTAGTGAAACCCAGCCATTGAGGTCAGGCTAGCAGGAGGTGCCACTGTGGAGAAAGGTAGAGATGAGTAATGGAGAAATAAGGTTCCATCTTACTATTTTCCTTGAGTAGTGACCGGAAGCCAGTTAATACAAAGGGTCTTCCAAAAGTTGGTGGAAAAAGAATTAAATGACAAGTTTATTTTGGTGAAAAAAAAAGTGAAATCCATGCAGTTTTTCATACTATGCATTTTCTGTCAACTTTTTGAAGCTATCTTAGTCACAATTCTTCAAGAAAACTAGGGTAGTTTATTCTTCTAGTAAATTTAGTTCTGACGGTCCCAGAAGAAAAAATGTGTAACTGGCTATACTCTGAGAAGCAAGTTTATAAGTATTTCACTATTTAAGTTTCTGGCTATTGTGTCTTTCACAAGTTCTAGAATACAGGACTGTGTTGGTGATGGTCCACCAGCGCTGACCTGTTGGCATTTATTGATGAGTCTGAGAGTGCCTGTGGAAGACTCCACAGTGAAAGCCAGGTCCTGGTTAGAGATCAGTGACCTAGTGATGTCAGTGGCATTTGTTTAAAAGATTTATATATTTATTTAAATTTGCTGTAGGGCATGTGCACTCACCAGAGAGAAAAAGAGAAAGCAAGCTGCCATATCCAGGACTTGGTCAGCCATGTGAGAATCCAGCACCTTAACCACAGTGCCACCTGCTTGCCCTATCAGTGGCATTTTACGCCATGAGGAGGAAAGGCTATATTTTGGTTTGGGTTTTTTTAATTGACACATAGTAATTGTCTATATTTGAATCCACAAGAACCTTGTGTAAGGATCAAATCAAGGTAATTAATATATTCATCACTACAAGCATTTACCATTAATTTGTGCCGAGAACATTCAAAAGTCTTCTCTTCTTGCTATTTTGAGATACTCAGTAACTGTTAATTGTAGCTACCCTATTGTGCTATAGAACACTAGAACTTAACTCGTCTTATCTAACTTTGATTTCATATTCTTTAACCAACATCTCCCTATCAGTCCCGGTGAACTCTTTATCACTTGTCTATCCCTGTACGATGGATGAAAACACATGAAAGACTTGAGACTAAACAGCACAGAAACGAGTCAAGAACTTTTTATTGGTTGACTCAGCAGTGCAGGCACCCATCAGCTTCAGGCTAGGTCTTACCCCACCCATGCCATCCACTTCTCCCTCTTCTCGGGTAGTGTCTTGCTTTAGAGCAAGGGCTTCCAACCAGCCTCATCTTAGTTACTGGCTATGATGTTTGTAATCCAGTCTATTAGGGAGAGCACCTTCACGTACACACCGTACTCAGCCACAGAACAGCTCTTGTCAAAGCTCAGAATCCCAGCCGCATACCAGGTGTCCAGCTCCTGGTCATGAATGGCAAAGGCACTGCCAGCATCGCCATAGCAGGTGTCCTCCTGATACTTGGTCATGCCAGCACAGAAAGTGTGCTCATTCAGTATGGGCTGTACCCCTACAGGGCTCTTCGGTGTCTTCTTTTCAGGCACTGTGCTGCCTTCGTAATGTTTCACACATTTTTCCTGGTCAGCCACAGGCAGCATGACGTACTTCAGATGGTCAGTAAACCTAAAGTTGGCATTCCGCCCCCAACCAGACACGTATCCCAGGCGCCCCTCCTCTGCATAGTTCTTGGAAGGCAGGCAAATGGGCATCACTGTCTCAGTGATAGGCACTTTCTGTTTGAGTTTGATGAGTCCAATGTCTATGTCAGAGAAGTTGGGGTGGAAAACCACCTTCTCAATCTCCACGAGCTGTGCCTTCCCCACGTAGAGTTTTAAAGTTGGGGCAATGTCTTTTGCTGTCGCGTTCTCTGTGTGATTCAGGAAGAGATTCTTAGCCGTGGTCAGGAGCCATTGTTCATGGATGAGTGTGGCCCCCGTGGTGAGATTATGGCGGGAGATCATCTTTGCCTGCCAGGGAAAGCTGCCTTTGGCAACCAGTGATCCCCCCAGGATCCGCTGCACCTGCTTCACTGGAGTCGTAGGCTTTCCACATACTGTCAAAGAGGGTAAGAAACTCATGAGCAGAAATGTGAAACACTCTCCTGGACTGGGAGAGGGTAAAAGCATCGGTTATGGCTGCTGTTTAGTTTTTCACTGTTCATTTTTTTTTCCAGAGCTAGAAATATTTAAATGTGTTGACCCTACCACCTGCTCACCTCATTTCCAATATAATAATTACAGCTTAAAGGATATTATTATTATTATTAATCCTATGTCACAAAGCACAGTTTTATATTCTGCTTTCCTTACTCAGAAGTGATACTGAAATTTTTAAACCCTGGTTGACGGACTGTATGTACATTTAAATAACTTATCACAACAAAGAAATTTCCAGAATCCCCTGATACCCATTGGAAGGGCCAGGAGATGCAACCATTCATTCTGAGTAAAGAGTGGTCCATGGCAGCATTGGCTGGGTCTCAGATTTGACAGATGTTGTGGTTAATACAAGGGAGCTTGGCAGCAACCCCCACCACCACCACCCATAGCAGTAGAAGGTAGGTCAAGTCCTATTGTTCCAAGCTAAAGAGCCAACCAACAGCTCTTCCTAATAATGAGATCCACCCTTCTGCTTCTAAATACTTCCATGGCTTGAGTTTGTTACGGCCTTCTTTGACTTGTTCTTCTTTGAGCTGACTACCTTTGACCCAGGGCTGTCTAGGCAGACACTCGATACACAGCATCCCCTGATCAGTGCAGCCAGTGGGTTCAATCAGGCCCTTCAGGCCCAAATGAATGAAACCCCTAGTGACCCCAGGGGTCATCACCTGATTGCTCAAGTCTCTGCCTGACCAGGTGCAGTTCACCCCGACCCCCAACTCTGCTCTTGTTGCACAAAGGAAGCCACCAGAGGGCTTTGCCTCTGGGACATTTCCACCTAGATGCTGCCCATGCTCCAAACCCTCACACTCACCTGCTTCACATTCAGGAAGTTTCTCTCCAGTGGCCTTATTTACCCATTGCTTCTCACTGTTTAAGCTGTACACTCCTGAAACAAAAGGAGAGAAATGAGCCAAAAGGGAGATCAAATGTGGACCTGCTGTAGGACGAGACAGTATTTAAAGAGAAGAATTAAAAAGCAAGAAGAGAGAAGGCAAAGGGGGTGAGGAAGGGGAGTATCACTGAGCTGGAGGCCAGGTGCCTCATGAGACAAACTGGTCATGGAAGTCATGGCCAGGCAGTACAGGTCGGGATTGCAGTTGAAATCCCAAGTCTAGGGGCCAGCAGGTGGCGTAGTGGTTAAGGCGCTGGACTTCAACATGGACAGGCATGTTGTCCCGAAACTGGTGGCTTGCTTTCTTACTTTACCACTCTCTCTCTGTCTCTCTCGGTAAGCATGTGCACCCTATAGTGAGTTAAAAAATAATAATGAAAAATAAAATAATGCTTTAAGAAATGTATATTTTTAAAAATCCTGACTGCCTCTTACAGGCAACCTGAATTTTGGCAACTCAACCTCTTTGAGCCACAGTTTTCTCCTCAGAAAAATGAAAGTATTAATAGTATCTCTTTTTTATTCTTTTATTTATTTTTTTTTTTGGAGAGGCTTTTGCTATAGGGCACATGCACTCACCAGACAGACAGAGAGAGACAGAGAGACAGAAAGCAAGAAATCACCCCCCAGGGGGGATGGCCATGCCGCAGTCCCTTCTCCTCCATTCTCTCCTCAGGGTCTTGGGCATGCACACATGCACACGCGCCTGGCGTAAGTTTAAGCCACCGGGTCCGGGACTCGAACCGCAGTCGACTACGTGGGAGTCCAGCGACATAGCCATTACACTAACTGCTGGTCCCAAAATAGTATCTCTTAAGAAGGGTGCACAAGTACTTGGAAAGCAGATAAATACAAAGCGCTAAGAACAGTGCCAGGGGTGTGATACTCACTAGGTAAGGGCTGTCTGTTATCATCGTTTGTTCTTTTACCACATCTCCCTTTTTTATGGTACTAGAGAACATGTAAACTTCAGAGAGAGAAGAGAATGCATCCTCACCCCATGGGGAATGGTCACCCTCCTTTTGGAATTTTGGGCACACAGACACAGGTGTACAGACAGACACACACACACACACACACACACAGAGCATGTTTCTCAAGCCACCGAGTCCAGGACTCAAACTGGGCAGTCAGCCATGTGGGATCCAGCTTCCTGAACCACCAGGCCATGGAGCCAGCCCCACCACATCTTTTGTAGATGCAGATCTCACTCAGATATGCAGGCTACAAGGCATTGGCTTTCTCAACAATAGAGAAAAACTTGAGGCTTAGAAAAATCAGTTTGCCCAGAGAACCACTCACTGGTGACAAAACCCTTATTAGAATCTAAATCTCCTGGCTCCAATAACCCCAGCCCCATTCTTCTTGGAAGTGTCAGAACAGGTGTATAGAGCACAGAGATACTCCTAGGTCTTACCATCTCCCTCCGTGCGTAGTCTATAGAATTTCTTACACTGATAGCGAACCAAGTGCTCCACATAGCCATTTTCAATCTGGGGGGGTTTTGGGCAGCTGTCATCTGCAAAGAAGAGAACAGAAGAGGTAATGTCCAGAAGTTCTTTCCAAGACCCATGAAAAGTCAGATGAGAGGGAGCTGCTATGTACATCAGCCTCCTTCCACCCAAATAGAAGCCAAGGCAAGGGCAGTCCCCTGCCCCCTCATTTCTGGCAGGATCCACGATGGTCATGGTATTGAAAGGTCTGACATTAGCATGAGGATGGGGAAATGGGTCTTTTCAAAAAGAGTGCATATCTGATAGGGTCCTACTGGGACACTAGGGAGATGTGCACCTCCTGCATAACCCAAAGACCAACCTGCAAAATCCGTGACATCATTGCCAGCGTCCACAGAGAAAAGCTGTCCCCAGAGCAGAAGGGTGACAACAGCTCCCAGGGCCCTGCAGAGAGAAGACGGGAACTAATGCAGAGCCGGTCTCTCTGTTCACAGCATGCGTACTCCTCGCCCATTAAGTGACCAGAAAAGGAAAGAAAGATGGAAGTTCTAGGACCAAGTACTGGCCTCCTCACCTATCCACATGCGCATCTTCACAGCTTCCCACACACCCAGCTTTCAGCAAGGTCTGCACTGCTGGACATTCTGCATAAGCTTCAGAGGTGACCTCCCAGATAGGAAGGCACATAGGTAAGTGGGCTGCCACTTCTGGCCATGATCAGGAAACATTAAGTTGGTAATCATTTGTGAGCTCTCCTGTAAAGAGGAAGCTCCCTCTGGCCCCTCTAATGTACGGGGCTACAAAAATACTACTAATAAAATGTAGATAGCTTAAAGATGGCAACTGGCTTATTGTACTATTCTCTCCACTTTTTAAAATTATCCATAATAAAAAGAATTTTAAGTTGCCAGACAATACATATGCTCACCAGAGAGAGAGGAAGAGGGACAAAAACAGTCTTATGGGGAGGGGGGTGTTACACAGCACTTCTCTATCACACCATCTTGTAAGGAGTTGAGGCATGCACACATGTGTGCCTTTGTATTTCTAGCCACCAGAGCCAGGATTCGAACTGCAGTCGGCTATGTGGGATCCAGTTTCCCACATAACCACCAGGGCTGGCCTAGTGATTTTTAAAATATATCATTTAAAACACATGGTGCTTTCTATTATTCTATGATCATTTGTTTTTAGGAAGTGGTAAACCCCAACATGCCAGAAGGTTAACTGGAAGAGAACTGGCTTCCCGAGAGCATGCCTATGGCCAGGGGCATCAGGGCTCAGGCCACACTTGCCAGTTAAAACATCTCACTGACAGATGTCAGCCATTCAGGAGTTTCTTGGTTATGTTACACTTCTAGTCTTATTATTCCAACATTTCAAAAGGTCGTCTTATTTTAACAAAAATAAGTGCCCTAATTGTATCACTCAATTGTCTTTTGTCATACACATTTTTCTTTTCTTTTCTTTTCTTTTTTTTTTTTTTTTGGAGAGGTTTTTTTGCTATAGGGCGCGTGCGCTCGCCAGACAGACAGACATAGAGACAGAAAGCGAGAAATCATCTCCCAGAGGGGATGGCCACGCCGCAATCCCTTCTCCTCCATTCTCCTCTCAGGATCTTGGGCACACACGCACACACGCACACACGCCCAGCGTGAGTTTTAAGCCACCGGGTCCGGGACACGAACCGCAGTCGACTACGTGGGAGTCCGGCAACATAGCCATTACGCTAACTGCTGGTTCCCTCATACACATTTTTTAAAGGGAAAAAATCTGCTAATGTATTCAAAATGCCAGGAATCCTGCCACAGGAGCTGCTAGGCTTCCCTGTGAAGATGAAAACTTTGTAACCTCAAAGAAAACAATGCTCCTTAGAGTAAGTCACCTCCTGGGATAGACTTCACTCTCTGTAACACTGCCTTATAGACGCAGAAAAGGATAGAACTTAACACACCTTTCGTTCATTACACCTTAGTCCATTTGCCCTGTTTCTTTGTTAGTTTCTACACCTTTCCTGTAGGCCTCTTATATAACGATGTAGGCAAAGAAGGACGAAATTTTAAAAAGAGAAAATGGGGAGAGACGGCTTTGTACTCACCTCATCTTTGGTCCTTCTTGCCTCTGGAAGTGCAGTGCTGTGGGGTCACCTGCTGGTCCTTTTATGCCTCCACTATCTCACCCAGCCCCCCTCTTGATTTTGAAATTCCTGTGTCTACACAACTTGTCCTTGTTAAGGTCACTGGCATATTCCAGTAAAGAAAAACCACAAACACTTCTCTTAGTAGCTGAGCTCTTGCTTCATGCTTGATTTTCTCATGGTGTTTTCATAAAACCTGAAGAAACTTGGCAGCTTCATGACTCCATGTACCTGACAGAGTGTTTTTCGAAATCAGCAACTAGGCAGGATATCAATCTGTCTCTTTATGTTGGAGGGTTTTCAACACAAAAAAAGACTTTTATGTGAGTTATTTCAAACCACTTTATAGACATCCCTGCAACCTACCTTAGATGGGGCTCTAAAGCAATATCTTTTTTTCTTTTTTTGAGAGAGGTTTTTGCTATAGGGCGCATGTGCTCACCAAAAATACAGAGAGAGACAGAGAGACAGAAAGCAAGAAATCACCCTCAAGGGGGAATGGCCATTCTGCAATCCCTTCTTCTCCATTCTTATCTTGGGCATTCATACACACAAGCCCGGCATGAGTTTAAGCCACCAGGTCCAAGACTCAAACTGTGGTCAACTACATGGGAGTCCAGCAACAGCCATTATGCCAATTGCTGGCCCCTCAATTGAATTTTAATGGCAAGTCAGTCAATAAAATATTGCTTTACTTGGGACCAGCAGTTAGCGTAATGACTATGTCGCTGGAACTCCCTCATAGTCGACCGCAGTTCACGTCCTGGACCCGAAGGCCTAAAACTCACGCCAGGCGCATGTGCGTACGTGCCCAAGATCCCGAGAGGAGAATGGAGGAGAAGGGATTGTGGCATGGCCATCCCCCATGGGGTATATATATATATATGTATATATATATATATTGCTTTACTCATTAAGAAAAAGGTTAATGGTTCTTAAAGTGTTCAAAAGAATCACTTTGGATATTCAAGGTGGCACTGATATAATAGAAAAATAACTGGAAATAACACAAGTGTCCATCAGTAGAAGAATGGGTAAATTATATGAAAAATTATACAGCCATGAAAAGGAATGAACAATAAAAGAAGTGGATAATTCTACAAACATAATTTTGAAGGAAAACTTCAAGTTGTAGAAAGGTTACATTCAGAATGATACCACTTGTATAGAGCTGAAAAAAAAAAAAACAAGTAGAATATGTTAATGGATTCTTAGCTATGACACCAAAATCACAAGCAATAAAAGTAAAAAATAGATATATTGCCCTTCATCAGTATTAACTTTTGTGCATCAAAGGACAACATCAAAGTTAAGAGAATACAGAACGGGAGGAAATATATTGGCAAATCATGTATCTATTAAAGGTTTAATATGCAGGCCAGCAGATGACATGGAGGTTAAGGCAGCTGATCCTACATGGCCAATTGCACAGTTCAAGTCCCAGACCCAGCAGCTTAAAATACAAGGTATGTGTGTGTACATGCCCAAAATCCTGAGAGAATAGAGGGGAAGGGATTGTGGCATGGCCATCCCCCCACCCCAAGAGTGTGATTTCTCACTTTGTCTAGCTGTCTCTTTCATGAGGCTCATTCACCCTACAGCAGAAATAACTTTAAAAAAAAAAGTTTGTGACCAGCATATGGTGTAATGGCTATGTTGCTGGACTCCCACATAGTCAACAGTTCACTTCCCAGGCCCAGCACCTTAAAACTTACACCAGATGCATGTGTGTGTGCCCAAACTCCCAAAAGGAGAATGGAGGAGAAGGGATTGCAGCATGGCCATTCCCACAGGAGGTGATTTCTTGCTTTCTGTCTCTATCTCCCCAGCGAACACAGGCACCCTATAGCAAGAATCTCTCTTTAAAAAAAAAAAAAGTTTAATATCCAGAATATTTATAAAGATCTCTTACATTAAAATATTTCTTATTTAACCCAATTAAAATATGAGGAAAAGATGTGTCACCAAAGAAGTTAAGTTAATGGCCCAAAAGTACATGAAAAGGTTCTCAACAGGGAAGATGTCAAAAGGGAAACACAGATTAAAACCATGACGATACACCATTTTATACCTACTAGGATGTCTGTAATTTTTAAAAAAGTGATACAAGGGACCAGCACATGGAGTAATGGATATGTCTCTGGACTCCCATGTAGTTGACTGCAGTTCGAGTCCCAGACCTGTTGGCTTAAAACTTATGCTGGGTATGTATGCATGCATGCCCAAGATCCTGAGAGGAGGATGCAAGAGAAAGGATTGCAGTGTGGCCACCCTGCCTCCTCAATCCCATGGGATAAATTCTTGTTTTCTATCTCTCTGTCTCTCTGGTGAGTGCACATGCTCTACAGAAAAATATTTTTCTTAAAAAAAAAAAAAAAAAAAAAAGTAGTAGTGAGGGGCCAGCAGGTGGCATGGTGGTTAAAAACACTGGAATCCCACATGGCTGACCGCAGTTCAAGTCCTGGACCTGATTGCTTGCTTTCTCACTTTCCCTCTTTCTCTCTCTCTCTCACTCTGTCCCTCTCTGGTCAAATTAAAATAAATAAATAAAGTTAAATAAAATAATTTTTTTTAAAAAAAGAGTGATACAAGGGACCAGCAGTTAGCGTAATGGCTATGTCTCTGCACTCCCATGTAGTCGACCATGGTTCGAGTCCTGGACCAGATGGCTTAAACTCATGCCAGGCACGTGTGTGTGCATGCCCATGATCCTGAGAAGAGAATGGAGGAGAAGGTATTGTGGCATGGCCATCCCCCCTGGGGGGTGATTTCTCACTTTCTGTCTCTGTCTCTCTTTCTGGTGAGTGCATGTGCCCTATAGCAAAAAAAAGCCTCTCCAAAAAGAAAAGAAAAGAAAAAACAACAACAACAAAAAACAAACAACAAAAAAAGTGATACAAAACGTTTTGGCAAGGATATGAAGAAATTAGAACTCTCATACATTGCTGGTGGGAATGTGGAAAACAGTTTGTTCCTCAAAACAACTAATATGACCCAGCAATCCTACTTTAGGTATATACTCAAAAGAATTTTAGTCATGGACTAAAAGAAACGTGTACATCAACATTCATTGCAGCATATTCACAGTAGCCAAAAGGTGGAAACCATCTAAGTGTCCATTTATTTAGTTTTTTAAAGAATTGTTTATTCATTATTATTACTTTTAATTTTGATGAGAGAGGGAGGGAAAGTGGGAAAGCAGTCCACCAGGTTCAGAACTCAAACTGTAGTCAGCCATGTGGGAATCCAGCGCTTTAACCACCAGGCCACCTGCCAGTGCCCCCGTTGAGTGTCCTTTAGCAGCTGAAGAGGTAAATAGAATATGGTCTATATACACAATAGATTATCATTCACCTATAAAAAGGAACAAAGTCAATACACGCTAAAAGTGGTTAACCCTCAAAAACACTCAATGAAATATCTATAATAGACAAATTTAGAGACAGAAAGTAGATTAGAGGTTGCCAGGAGCTTGGGGGAGGAAGAATGGGAAGTTATTGCCCAATAGGTACAGAGTTTCTGTTCAGGGTGATGAAAAGTTTTAGAAACAGATAGTAGTGATGGTTGCTCAACATAGCTAATACAAGTGATGCTTCTGAACCATACACTTAAGAGTGGTGAAACTTGCAAATTCTTTTATCTATATTTTATCACATTAAAATTTAAGAAATAAATTAAAACTTATTTTTAATGAAGCCCAAAAAAAGCAAGCAGAACTCGGTAATATATTATATATGAATAGATACCGAAGCCAGCAGGTGGGGTGGTGGTTAAGGCACTGGACTCCCACATGTCTGACCACAGTTAAAGTCCTGGACCTGGCAGCTTGCTTTCTCACTTTCTCTTTCTCTCTCTCCTGGACCTGGTAGCTTGCTTTCCCTGTCTCTCCTCTCCTCTCCTCTCCTCTCTTCTCCTCTCCCCTGTAGCACATTTTTTAAAATAAAAAATAAAAATTATTCCAAAACAAAAAAGGAATAGATACCAAACAAAAACATTTTAAAATCTTTTAGCATAGTAGAAAACACAAAACATAAAATGTTATTAAAAGAAACATTTTACATTTTGTGTTTGCAAGAGGAAAGCAAAAGCAAAAACTACATTGGAAAATATAAATGTAAATAAATTGTTAACAATCCAGCTTTTGGGCTGGGTGGTAGGTTCATGAATGTACATTACATTATTGCGCTTTATCTTTTTAAAAATAGGGGCCACAGGAACCAGCAGTTAGCGTAATGGCTTTGTAACTGGACTCTCATGTAGTCAACCATGGTTCGCGTCCCGGTCCACTGAGCCATGGTTCGCGTCCCGGACCCAGTGGCTTAAAACTCACGCCGGGCACGTGTGCATGCGTGCCCAAGATCCCAAGAGGAGAATGGAGGAGAAGGGATTGCAGCGTGACCATCCCTCTTAGGGGGCGATTTCTTGCTTTCTGTCTCTATGTCTCTCTCTGTCTGTCTGACAAGCACACGCGCCCTATAGTGGAAAATAAAAAAAATCCTCTCCAAAAAAAAAAAATCAACCAGCTATGAATATTCTTGTGCACATCTTTTGATGGATACACACTTTTCTCTTGGGTAAATACATTGTTGGGGCCAGCAGATGGCAAAGTAGTTACATTGCTAGACACCCACATGGCCGACTGTGGTTAGAATCCCAGACCCAATGGCTTGAAAATCATGCCATGGGTGTGTATGTGTCCCCAAGATCTCAAAAGGAGAATGAGAAAGAAGGGCCATCTCCCTGAGTGGCAATTTCTCACTTTCCCTCTCACTGTCTGTCTGTCTCTCTCTCTCAATGTGGGCACATGTGCCCAATAGCAAAAACCTATAAATAAATAAATAAATAAATAGTCAAAAGATAGAAAGATATTTAGCTTTAATAGACTCCACCAGTTTTCCAATATATACCCCCCCACCAGCAATATGCCAGACTTCTTCCTGCTCCATATCTGTGTCAATACTCTAAGTTTAGCCATTCTGTTATATATGTTGCAAAATATAATAATGGCTTTATTTTGCATTTTATCAATATCAGATATTGTAAAGCACTCTTTATATTCTCATTGGTCCATATGGATATCCTCTTTATGAAATGTCTTTTCCC